GGGGGGGTTGTGTGGTGTGTTCAAAATTTTTAGAAAATCTGGTTGAGGCTCACATGCAGGTCTATTATTGTCATGGAGATTGGATCAAAGGAATGAATACCTTTTTAATAATTATCACAGAGAATGATTCAAAGAAATGTTGGCCTACACTCCTTTGTAGAAAAATCGTCACGGAGAATAGATCGAGGAAATTAATTCCCTGATATAATGTCTTGGAGAATGAACTAAAGAAATTAATGCTGTCCAGTCTTGAAAATTCTTCCCCCCCAACAGATTGCCCACCTGGAGCGCACCGGCCACTACCTGACTGTGAAGGATAGCCAGGTGGTCCAGCTTCATCCGTCCACAGTGTTGGACCATAAACCGGACTGGGTACTCTACAATGAGTTTGTACTCACCACCAAAAATTACATCCGCACGGTGACCGATGTCAAGCCAGAGTGGTGTGTATAAACAACCCCTTTTCTCTCTGGATCAGGCTGAGAAACTTGCTGATTCCCCCTCCCCAACCTCTGCCAATTTCCTTTTTAAGTTGTGTATGTTACTTCTTGAAAGCATATTGCTGATGACATGAAGTATCAAGGTATTTCTATCTTTTCGTGGTTAAATCTTTCAAACCTGTACGGTCACCATCTTTGAATTCTGTTCCTGTTTAGCTTAACAGTGTTACTGTCCAGCTATTTCCATCTTGGCAACTGATAACAACTGAATTTTAAAAATAAATGCTGAGTGGCAGAATTCTGTCGCTTCAGTTATATGTGGAGATAAATAAGACCGGGTTTATTTTAGTGCATAAGGTAAGACAGTCACCATATTTCAGAGAGGACAAAAGGACAAAGCATGTTGGGATAGAGTGGTTGATCTGATGTCCTTTTCCAAATTGATGTTACATGGCCAAATCAAAAGGGACAATACTCACCCCTACCACCACATATACACTCACAAACAGTCTCTGAGGAGTTGATTAGACTCAAATGTTATACTTAGGCAAATTCAGATTTGCTCCCTAAGCATCTACATCTAGGGCAAGGTATATATGACCCAAATTGTCAACACTCTTGCTTATATGCTTCATCTGTCAATGCAAGTATTTCTGGTGTATGATTGGTGCTGTTTATCATCCAGTCCTAAAAGACCACTGGCAATAATGGTTAGGAGACACAGTTTCCCATTCCTAATTCTTGTTCTCCAAAAGGCTTTGTGTTCTCTTAAGTGGACAGAGGTGTGGGAAATCAAGAAATTAATTAAAAGGGAAGGTGAGAGTGTTGACTCATCTAGGCTGCAATGCCCAGCACCTTTTCTCCCCACACATTCTGTTGTTTACTTTTCATGCTTTTTTTTTCATTCTTTGCACTATTTAAAACCAACAGGGGAAATTAAAATTGATGAAAGTGAGAGAAAAAAACCCATAAGAATTTCATTTTACCTTTTTGCAGTACTGAAGGTCGGTTGGTAGGTGCTGTGGTGTGGTTTGCTCCCTCTTTACTATCTAACATCTATCATCTTTATCTTTCCTCGTTCTTGTTTGTATTTGTTACTTTCATGTAGCACCTATTTTCAGCACTTATATATGACCTTTTTGTGTTGCAAGTGCTGTAGAACTTTTACTAAAACTAAAACGAAGAAAAAAAGGTCAGTTGGCTGCGGTAGGTTTCTCAATTTGCCCTATATATTATTTTCCTGCTTTGCTCTTGCTTTTTTAAAGTTTCTCCATTGAAAGTATTTACCGGGTTGATAAAACAATGTGGTCTCAACACCACTCCACACCCATGAGCTGTGCAAATATAATGTCTTTCAATTTTAAGATTCTTTTGGAAATGTCTCGAGGTTTTTATTTTTCTAATGATTTGTGGTACATGAGTAGAACCACTGGACTGACAAAAATCACATTGCTTGCACAGCCCAAAATTACCTGTGAAATTTCTTTCTGTTGGATATTTTAGAGGAGAATCCAAGTGATACTTTTCCGCGAGTTGAAAATTAGGGGTTATTGACCGATGATCAGTTATCCTTTGCTTCGGTTCATTAATGCTTTGTATTTGACGCTCTGTTAAAGTATGGTTTGGAAAGTAAAGTCAGTTTGAATAGGCATGGATTTGTTTTAGATTCAAATTTAGTCTCTCGCATCTTTTTTTACGCTTCTTATGTTTGTTTTTTAAACTTTGGTACTGAGGCATCGTTAAACACTCAATTTAGTTGCGAGCGACGTAAAACCCTATACTACATACTACTAAACACTCAATTTTCATGCGGATATTGTCTTTTGAAATGCAAGTCTTTTTGGTCAATGATGGGTTTTGAAAAAATGTTAATAACTAATACTGTCAGTTTGAAAATCAAGAGTGTGATTAAAATTATCCTTGTTATCATAAGGTTGGTTGGTTAACATTAACTGAATTTTCATCTCATCTATATTAGCTTTCTCATATTCTCAATGGGTGGGTGGTGGTGACCCTGGTTCTCCTTTTACTTTATTTTTTAATAACTATTGTACTTTTCTGTTCTCTTCCGAAACATAGCCTTTATTGTGTTGACTGTTAGATTCTAACTTTCTCAGATAGCTGCAATTCAATAATGGCTAGTAAATAAATGGTAGCAGACTTAAAAGATGTCTTATTCCATCCACAGGCTCATCAAAAGGGCACCTCAGTACTACGACATGGCCAACTTCCCTATGTGTGAAGCTAAGAGACAACTGGAGAGAATCATTGCCAAACTACAGTCCGGGCGGGGAGGAAACTACAAATAAGACTTTGGGGATCAGGAAGGCACACAGACAGGAAACAGGGGGAAGCTGAGACCAAGCTTCTTGTTGAGGTCTTGTTCAGATGTATGGCTGAGGAGAAGTTGTATTTTGTGAGAGACTTGAGAGCATGTTCATTGTGTGTGTGAGTGGCCATGGCTTAGTTTTTAATCATGGCCTCTGTTCCGCTTGTAATACAATCTTTCATTTGCATTCGTGTAAATTCTTAATTGTTTCTCGCTGTTTGTCACATCAATATGCTTAATTGTTCATTCTCCTAACCAGTGCAGCTAACTGGAAAAGGATAGATGAAAAAAGATTCAAACAGTCCCTTTTTTTAAAAGGTAGTTGAATAAAAATGCTTAAGTCGAAAATGTTTGTTTCTCTTCAGTGGTTGTTTGTAGGAGATAGTAAATGATTTCTATCAGCTGTTTCATCGATTGTTTTATTGACAAAGAAATCACAAAGTGTATTTTTAATGTACGTTGTCAAGGATTCTTTTTTTGTGTGTATGTCTTCATATTTGAAGTTGTATTTTGAGAAATTTATTTAGTATGTTCCTGGCTTATTGTATTTGGGAGATATTTGTGGCTAATTGCTTAGCCGAACTAGACCACTATGTGAAGGATTAGAGAAAGTTAATATAATATCAAAAACTCCTGTTGTTCTTTTCTAGTATTTTTCAAGAATTGCAAAACTTGAAAAGAGTATGCAAATTTGAAATTTTTGAATGCGAGTTAAAAAAAAATATAGAATTTCACTTTACGTTTTCACAATTCGAAATGGTGATTGGTTTTCAAGGGGTTTTGGAGTAATTCACGATGCAAACTGAATCAATTGCTGTCAGTATGTTTGTAATTTGTAATCTTGCATTCAAATGATACAGATTTGTTTTGTACTCTTTTCTTTTTTTTTTCACTTTTCCAAAATAAATTGTGCAATGCGTTTGATGATTTTATCATAGGTTCTCATTTTCTATTTTCTCCTACGTTATTTCATAGTTTATGAACCAGGTGCTAAATGTAGGCTACCAGGTTTATGCATGTTTAAAGTTTAAGTGTTTTTCCCAAGTATTGGGATATCATGTTGATTCATCTGAAAGTTCCATGATTCCTGCGTCGCCTTGCTCATTGGAGAAGAAAGAAATCTAGACTTTAAAATTTTAATATCTCTAGCATTTTTCAGTTGGGTTCCTTGGTATGACTGTTCTATCTTGTTGAGGTCAAGAGTACATTGCCCTTTTCATTGTGTATTACCAGCTTGGCGCTTGTCTGTCAAACATGGTTTTTATGTTTTTCAAAAATAATGCAGTTTCATTGAAATGTCTTGTTTTGTTTACGGTTTAGTGTTATGTTTTCAGCCTTTCATTCAAAGTTTAACGCAGATGGTCATGGACCCATTCTTTTTAAAGAGTTACGAGCTTCTGTGGAAGATGGGATCCTAATTTTTAGCTCTACTAATTATATATTATATATATATATATATATTATATATTTTGTGCCTACAGAGGCAGCAGTCATCAAGGATTTTGGTTTAGTTTGAAGTAGATAAACTTTGCACTTTCCTGCATTATCATCATAAGTAGAATTCTCCACCTAAATGCACACCATACAAAGGCACACTCTGCTCAAACGTACACTTTCACATTACTGGCTACCATTTAGGCGACAAGAATACTCACAACTGAAAATTAAATGAGCCAGAACCTCGGCAAGCCTTGTCATTACATGAGGCCATGAGCTGTATCTTTCTCTTTTATATTACAAAACAGCAACAAATGATGGTACCAAAAGTTTGGTTATTTACTCTTGGCTTTTATTCAGACTCTGACACCGTGTCCAAAGTGTAGTGGTTAGGTAATTTGTCACTCACCGGACAGTTTGATTCACCTGTGGGGAAGTTTTTTTTAATGAAATGTTTCCTGCTCCCAGCTGAGACAAGTTCTCATAAATGGTGTAAACTATGTCAGTGGGGGCGTGAATGATGTAGACCTACAATTTTTATTTATTTATTTTACACGACTCCAAACCAAATTTGTGTTGTGGCCTCTTCGTTTTTGCACTTGTTTCTGAGGTTGAGAATCTGTTAATGTTGTCATAATGTTCTTTTTAACATGGACACTTTCAGACTCAAGAGGAGAGTTAACTACTGATGAATGGCATTGTTTGATCTCCCTAGAATACACTGGTCTCAAGTATGAATCCAACTCTCAAATGTTTGGAATTTGTTGTAAAATTTTGAGGCTCTGCAATGTGGCTCCTGTAGAGCAGTACGTCTTTAGGTACAGTACAATATCATTACTGTGTTGTTTGAGGTGTAAGATTCAACTTTTTCATGAGCTAGAACCTCGGCAAAGCTGCTAAAAATACACCTATAAAATTAGAATTGTCTTGGTTTCATACATTTCTATTATGTAATTACTTTCAGTAATACGCATGTGACTGCCTTGAGTAGGGACAAGCATTGTAGATTCCTGCCGCATCTCATCTCTGTATCGGAATATGTTGTTACGCTTTGGTGGGGACTGATTGCTTTCTTTGCAATGAAAAGTAATATTCATTTTGTTATTTTATTTATGTTTATGCTGGTGAGCACCCTTCAGATGTCATGTTTTGTGGTTCCTACAAAATAAATGTTTTGAGAAGTCATGTCTATGAAAAGTTTCTTCTTTTTAATTTTATTACTCTGTTAGTACTGTTATGTGTTGACTGTGACTGTTACACATGTTTTAGTAGTTCTGTCGATTGTCGATGCTGCTGATAGTGAACTTGTGTTCACAAGAGTCATTCTCATGGGTGGTTGGCAGGTGCTCTGGTGTGGTTTGCTCCTTCTTTCCTATCAAACGTCTATGTCTTAATCTCCCCTCCTTCTTTTTTGTGTTTGTTACTCTCTTGTAACTCCTCTAATCTTCGGCACTTATATGACCTTATTGTGCTGCAAGTGCCGTAAACCACTTACTAAAATTAAAGTCATTCTCTTTCATTTCATTTTATTTTTAGTAGTTAAAATTGTTTTAATGTGTATTAGCATAGAGGCCATATTTGTAAGTGCCACTGTCCATGTCAAATGTGATTCTCAAGAATTTTGCTCCCAAATGTGTTTTTATTTGAAAAAAAAAAAGAAATTATGAAGGTCAAAAGTCATAACAATTATTACAGCTGAAACAAACTTCTTAACGACATACCACAGGTAATATGTAATGATTGATGACATGAACAGATGCATTATTTATTCTTGAGGCAAGCCTTGTCGTAACATCAGGCCATGAGTTGTATCTCTCTCTTTTATATTACAAAACGACAAAACCAAAAGTTAGGTAATTTGAAACAGTTAACTTTCACATGGAAACCAAGCTTACTAAGTTTGATAAGAACCATCCCACCTCCCATGAGTGTGGTACTGAAAAAAAAAAGCTTCTACAGATATCTGCATTAGACCAAGGTGTGATGAAAATGCACTACTTAATAAATACATAAATCTACATTTTACGGTAACAGCGAATGGCCTTCAAAAAATTAGAATTCTGTTGGGATCAACAGCGAAGAACAGATCTTTCAATTTTGTACATCTAAAATATATTTCCTTCGGGTCTCTCCAAAGTCTGGACCCCAGTGCTTTCTTGTCGTATCTCCATTTTTAATAACAGTGAAAACAGTTCATAACAAGGAGTGAGCTTAAGAAGATGTCACATTTTCATTGTTTGAAAAAATGGAGATACGACAAGAAAGCAGTGAGGTCGCGAATGTGTCTTATTAAGTTGTTCACTCAGTGTTTGTCCGACAGACTGGAAATGTAGCTTTTGACTTTATTTTTAACATGTGTCTGTGGGAGAATGCTCCTCGTTGATCCCAACAGAAAGGATAAAGATTCCTTCGCCAGGAGATTGACCTGCTCGTTTCCTCAGACGACCACAAGTCTAGGCAGCCATGCGAACACTATACATTTTGCCTGTTCTGTAAAGGAGTGTATCCTCAGTGCAACTTAACTGCTTTTGGGTTTAAGGATTGTGAGTGAGGTGACGCAAGATAAGGAATCAGACAGAAGAAGAAAAGATGTTTTGGGAGAATTATTCTGCTTCACAGAATCGCAATGCCAATGCATTGGCAGTAGCCTCCGCAGAAAAAATAGTGGCTTTAAGTAAGTTCATCGATGACTGAGGACTCGAATATCTCTACACTTTGTTACTAATAAATAAGTAATTTATCATAGAGTAATGCCTTGAGACATGAGTTTAATTCATTCCAAATAGGTGCTGCCCCTTATAGGATCGGTTACGTTTCTGGCGACTTCAGTGCACACTACTACATGTATAAAAATAGACCTGTTCCTGAAACGGATCGCCAAACTCACTGCCTCGAAAACTAGCTAGTTTTTACTTGTAGGTAGTCAGTTTGTGCCCTGATGATAGCTTTTTTCCCTCCATGGAGGAAAATCTGGCTAGCCCCGAAGACCAAATCAAACCGAATGGAACCGATTTTGCCAATGGGCACCGGGTACAAGACCAGGCTCGTAAAACAAAAGATTTGTCGTTAATCCTTTTTCTTCCTTTGAAATTATTGAGAATATTTCTGATTCATTCTAAGAATCTAAGCTCTCTAGGCAAATTCAAATAATCACCCAGACTCCAGCTAGTATTTTAAAAAACGCAAAATTTATATTGTACACTCATCTCAAGGAATTACATGTACTGCTAAGAAAATATTATGGTGATTGTTCTATGACTTGCTATTGTACCATTGCTTCAGGTAAAATAAATAGGATTGTATTAGTATTAGTAGTATAGGGTTTTACAGCGCTCGCAACTGCTAAGGTCATATGAGCGCGTGAAACACAAGTTGTTTACTTTCGCAAAAGTTCACTCCACGATTGGTTAACTAATTGACTTTAAAATGCTAAAATGTTAAAATATTAAAATTCAATATAAATATATTTGTGATTTAAAACAACTCTTATAAGTAATAATAAAAAATTTAAATAGTACGTTTTCATTTTACAATTTGCCATAAAGGCCAATGGCCTTCATAAAATTCAAAATTTTGCTGGGACCAACGATGGGAAAAATATCTTGTAATTTCTTGCATTTATAATATTTCCTTCGGATCTCTCCAAAGTCTAGACATTCTGTTAAGATGTGTCTAATGGTAAAATCTGTGTCGCATCCGACACAGAACGGCTTCTCATCTCCCTGTAGGAGGTATTTGTGGGTCAGGGCCGTGTGTCCAATGCGCAATCGAGTAAAAATGACTTCGTCTCTTCTGGAGAGGTCCGAAGGATTTCGCTGTTCTAACTTGGGTTTTATTTCATATAGTTTATTATTTTTCTGCTTTTCCCAGTGGCTCTCCCACAGACTGGAGGTGTACTTTTTGACTTTACTTTATTTCTAAAGTCAGTCTGTGGGAGAGTGTTTGTCGTTGATCCCAGCAGAAGGGATGAAGCTATCTTTGCCAGGTCGCCTACCTGCTCGTTTCCTCGGATGCCCACATGGCTGGGTATCCATGCGAACATGATGTTTTTTCCTGTTTCAGATAGTGTATGAATTTTCTGTTGTAGCCTAACTATTTTTAGATGTAAGAGTGTGTAGTTTGTGAGTGAGGTGATGCAAGACAGAGAGTCAGAAAGGATAAGGAAAGATTTGTCAGGAGAATTTTCTAGAGTCCAGTGCCATGTCAATGGCAGTGGCCTCGCAGTGAAAATGGAGGCTTCAGGATGGAGTCTCCTCTGGTGTGTATTGTTGGGAGATAGGGCTGCGGCGCCCACTTCATTGTCTTTTTTGGAGCCGTCCATGAAGATGAGCTCCGCACCGGGGTATTTATCTATTAGTTTTTTGTATTCTGCTTCAAAAGTTTTGGTGTTTGTGCTTTCTTTGTTGTGCATGGTCAGCTGCAAGTCTACTTTTGCCTTGGTGAGGTGCCACGTAGGGAGGTTGGGGAAAAGAATTTGTTGGATGTCTTGTTTGGAAAAGGGTAAGTTTTTGAGGTCCTCAAGGATTCTGAGGCCGAAGGGTTTGATGAGTTTTTCGTTGTTTTGGAATTTGTTTATGGTTTCTGGGTTTGTTTTAAAAATGCTGTTGTGCGTTGGATTTTCCGGTGTTGAGCTCTGTTTAACTGCGTATTGTAGTGAGAGTTGTGTGCGTCTGAGTGAGAGTGGTGGTATGTTGGCCTTGGCCTGAAGGCTCTCCACCGGAGAAGTGCGGAAAGCCCCCAGAGCGAGGCGGAGTCCTTGGCTCTGTATTGGGTCTAGCATTTTTAAGATGTGTGATTTTGCCGATCCGTAGACTTGACAAAATAGGATTGGAAAGATTCCAACTTTCACGAGAGGCTTACTAAGAGTTCCATAGTATAATGTGGAACATGACTTGAGGACTTGAACGAGAAACAACACGGTGTACAGAGAGGCACAGGACATAATAGAATAGAAGTAAGTGGCATACATGCATAACAAATGGATATACAATAACAAATAACGTGTGTAACAAAACACAATGCAATAACAGGAAATCAAGGATTGCATGTCAGGGTTTGTTTATTTTTTCTTACATTACAAGCCAAAAACAGAATGTCGATATCTTCAAGACAATGAAAATGACAGGTAAATGACAGTTTTTGGTAATTTTATACAAATTATAAAAGAGGTCATTGTAAATATAACATAATTTACAGCTCACCTCCACAATGCATTATTACTTCAACAAATGTATGTGTACGGTACATATTTTGAAAAATTGGTCGCTTTTAAGCACAAGGGGGCTATCCCGAAAATGCTGTTCTGAGAAAATCGAAGGTAAAGTTGCTGGACACTTATTCCGTTTCTTTAAAAGACAAGGATGGTTTTCACTATAACCAAACGAATATACACACCAGTGAAACCAAACTTTTTCTATTGGTAGGGCAATGCCCACTTTGGTGTACATCAAGATTTCTGGAAACCCCCAAAATTTGGGTTGGCCCGCTTGTCCTTAAAAGCGACCAATTAATGGTGGAATGGTACAAAATGTGTAGGTTTAACAGTAATACATGTAACAGCCCTACTATCAACACTGTTAGGTGTACATAGTTTGTACGGAAAGGCGTAATCCTAACAAGTACATGTAAAATAATACATTTTTAATTCTAAAAAGCTGGCATTGCACTTTCATCTCTGCAACAAACACTCTCGTGGCCTAGAGGTTAAGGTGTTGGCCTCTCATTCAAAGGTCCCGGTTTCGAATCCGGGTAGCGACCGAAAAATTTCTTCTCTAAAATTGTCTCCTTTCACCTCCTTTCCTGTTCTCTAGCAATGTTCTGTTGTCTGCTTTCATTTCCACTTTCTGCCCCCACCCCCTCACCCCCTTTGCCCCCTCCTCTGGGCTCCTGACTCTTTCTGCAGCCTTTCTCCTGCTACTCCTTGGCTCCTCCTTACTGCTGCCTTTCTGTCACACCCCTGATCTTCTGGTAGGAAAGATCTACACCTAGCCTTCTCGGACAAGGGCGAAAAATCTCGGAGGGCCCGTGTGCAAGTTGCGCACATTAAAGATCCCTTGGTGGTCTAAAATCGATAAGAGTAGGCTTCGGCCGCCACCCGAGCAAAATTCAAAATTTCCTACCAACTGAAAATATTAGGAGTGTCCTGCGCGCTCATATGACCTATGCAGAAACACTTTACAAAAACAAAACAAACAAAC